TGTAATCAGTTTGTAGTGTTTAGAGAGAGGAATGAGTCCCAGAACAGAATTCAGGGTTATGTGATTTCCACTCTGATATTTAGCTCGTGCCTCTCGAGAAAGCAAGGCAAGTCAGGAGTCAGCAGGCGAGGCAGCCACACTGTAATTTTTGAACAAGCCTCCAGCCACCATGTGGTATTTAGGCATCTAGTTAAAAATCTAGCCTGCAGCAAAGCAGATTCAATTCTTAAATTCAGTGCTTATCGCTGGCTAAAAAGAATAAAAACTCACTTTAGTACTGAGTGAAAGCACCTAAACAAAGATTTCATGCATTTTAATTAATTAACTTTAAAATTACATCAGTGGAATATGCATGAACGTCTCAAACACAACTACGCAGACTAGCCCTCTGCTTAACCACTTATCGAAGGTAGAAATGCACTTCACTAAGGAGTCTGAAAGAAAATGAAAATAAAAAATACAAACATGACAGTTCTTCAAGTTGATGTTTCCTGGTTGCTAATTTAAAGCAGAATTAAAATAAGTAAATCAATTCACTCTATTGTTCAGCAGCAGCATGTAATCATATGTTCTGAGAAGCATGAACCTTTAAATAGTATAAGACTTTGAAGTCTGTAACAAAGAGTAACAGACATTTCTGTGCAAGTTTCAAAAAAACCCAATATGGAGCACAAAAACTGGATTCTCTCCACTTCATGGTAATTCCCCTGCATTCCCTCCCTTCCTCCTTCCTTCCCTCCAGGGAGGTTAATTGTAAGCAGATTTACAAATCTGAACATTGCTACAGTGCACTGAAGCAATCTGGAACAATAATTCTGTGCCTTTAGAAACATAATTTTGCTCTGTTAGAGCTCACTACAGACAAGGTTTATGCCAGTACAGAAGGCTTCCCTGCATCACACACTGGTACAACGGCTGGATGCGTGTCTGAGGTGGACCCTGCTGATTATCAAGCACAGTGACAGTCCTGGCAGCCTCCAAATTTTGTAAAAGAGGATGAAAGCAGAAGAGCTGCGGGACTAAGCTGAGCAGTTGTGGCAGAAGGAAGCTCCATTTTCTTCCCCCTTGTACCCTGCAGTAAATCCAGTTTAGGTTTTCTTTAAGGGCAGGCTCCACCTTACAAAGCCTGTGTTCCAGCATCCTTCTTGAAAGAGTTCACTACTGAGCGAGAGTTTTGCCCAGCTTCCTGCGTGTTCCCTTAATTGCGGGTTGCAGTGTTGTAGATGTGACCCCCTCGCCAGATCCTGAGGACTGAGGTCCACGCATCCAGGCAACAGTGTCCTTCTTGCTGACACCTGGGGTCAGGCCAAGGATGATGCTTCGACATCAGCTTAGAGATCAGGTAATAGAAGGGCAAAGGTTAGTTTCCTAAGGCTCTCCATCGCATAATGAGCCACTGTCAGCTTTAGTAGCCTTCTCACTTCAGTGGCAATAAAAAAAACCCAAACATCCTGTGTGATCACCATTTGTCTTTACACGTTAATTTAAAAAATTAACAGGCTGGAAAGGTAAGGATAGAAATGGTTTGGAGTGGGGATCAGAGCCTCAGCCGCACCTACACCTCCTAAATGAGCTTCTGAGCACCAGCACATGAACTGACATGGGACAGCCCTACAACAAACCCAAAACCTGACGCACTGCTGGTAGAGGGGCTGGCTCCAGGCTGTTACACTGAGAGCTGCAGCTCAGATTGCAGGGACACAAGCGGGCAGTTTCTGAAGGAGAAGGATCTGATGAAAGATAGCAGGACTTTATTTCAAGCTGTGTTTTGCCCTGCTGTAGGATGATAAGCCAGTCATCACTAAGTCGTTTCCCCTCACACCCTTTTGTCTTGTCTTTCGGAGCACAAACCTTTTGCAACAGTGACTGCACTATGAAAGACAGTCCCTACACCAGTGAGATCCAGTTTCAGTGGGTCTTGCAGATACTATCACAAGGCAAATAGCTCCACTCCTGCCCTGGAGGCAGTCTTGTTATTGACCTCTCTTGATCAGCTTTGGGGACTAACACTGGGTCAAAGATAACTTTTTTTCAAAAAAAACAACCCATAAAGAAATGCAAATTTGGTGCATTCCTTCATCATCTCACTTCATTCTCTAAAACAAGATAAAAGCATACAAGAAATGCTCAGTACCTTTTCTCTTCCAAAACACTGTACCTCCACCTTACTTACCAACTGGCTAGGCAGGCAGTTCTCATCTCTGATGTTTGTGTGTAACGCTCATTAAGCTCAAAAGGAGTTGCATATGCAAGTACTTTTGCATGCCCTTTAAAGGCCAAAAAAATAAACACAGGACTGTAGGGTTACAAGCACAGATTATTCTGTATACTGAAATTCTGCATTTACTCCTCAGCTCCTGGGAACGGACTTGGGGGGTCCTATTTGCAGCTGCCCACCGCAATTACTTTCCCTATTTGGGACTGGTTTGGGCATTGTAGGCTTGTTTCCCTATGAGATTTCTCTAATACTGTTTTCTGTCCTTTGTTCATGCCTTTCGCCTTACAAGGTAACAGAACTGTAAGAAGACAGAAAAACAAAATGTGAATAAGCTACTGGGGGAAAAGAAAAAACCTCTATCTGGTAAGAAAAAGCCCACTGACAGATGTGCCTTTGTTTACTTAAACTTATAAAGAAAAGAAGTTGAAACCTGGAGACATGTATGAAAGGTCAGATAAGAAAATAAGTTTTTCAAATCTCTTAAGAGATGAAAAGCTCCTGTTTATGAAGGGATAACACAGACTTAGTTCTTAAACACAGAAGGCAAGATGCACTGCATTCAAACTGATGACATTTAAAATAATTTCTCTATTCCTTTACAAATGCCTTCTACAGAAATGCAGCCAGAGGACATATCTCATGTCTCCCCAGTATCCTCTGTTCCCCGTCCAGCCTCCTATCCCCCTCTCAAGTGCCTGTAGTGGTCTGAGATAAAGGCAACTGCCAAAGGGCAATTTCACTCAGTTCACCCAAGGAAATAGGCAGAGCAAAACCTTAATTCTTGCTGGCAAAGCCCCAGCAACCCTATGGGAAAAAACAATCCATCACCTAAAAGGCAGTAAGTCTTTATACTTTACCCCAAGTAATTTTGGTTAATGTTAGAAATACTGCTGATATTTCCAAAACCCACTCTGATGTGACGTTACAACATTTAATAAGATTACTACTTCACGTCAGCAGTAAAATCCTTAAGAATTCAAGACCAACAAGCCCTCAGGTGAGAAAAGTGTTTTTTCTTCTCTTCCAAACTGCATCATACTGTTTTTATCGGGGGGAAAAAAGCTTCATGTGCACAGATATATATGTGGTCAAATACCTATCAATAAAATCCTCCTCATTCAATCTTACATCTTTGTGCATCTTTGTATTTAGCCTACCTTCTCCTTTATTCCCATCATAGTCTCCACTCCAGTAAATCTATACATAAGTATAGCTAAGTGCACTTCAGGCACACCAGAAAACTAGAAAACCCAACAAGGACAGTGAAATCATGGAAATCCTAAGACCTCCTCCCCCAGTTGCTTGAAACTTGATGTTGGCCCTTTTCAATAACCACGTTTTTGGCTTTCCATGAAAAGGAGCTGGAAACATTGCAAAGTGGTCCTAAAGATGTATCCGGTTCTTTCTCTGCTCCTCAACACTCTTCCTCTGCGAGGAGAGGAAGGAGAGGGTGGGAGAGAAAAATAGGATGCAACCAGGAGGGACCAGTGTGACTTTGGGACCTCTTTGGCTCCTGCCCAAGGACGGAGAAGGGAACTACTGGGAAGTCCCACGCAATTCAGGAAGGAGAAACGCTGAGGATGAGAACTGGTTTAAGTCACAGTTCAGTCATCAGTGTCAATTTTTTTTTTCTTTGGTCTTAAAAGTCTCTCCAAGGAACTCCTGTGGGTGAATTAAAGAAGTAGTGTTTGGCAATTTTTACCCTCCTCTTATGCACATACTGCATTCTGTAGTGTTCATTATTGGAACTGACCTACTGAACTCAAGAACATCACAGATAGAGGTAAAAACCCTCAACAATCAAACAAATCACTATACCAAAGACTTTTACTACTGCAATCACTCCAATCAAAAATGAGAAAGTTTCAGAAGCATTACCCCATAGGAACCTAAGAATGGCTTTTTAAGCTAAATTTTCATGCTTGACAGAGATATCAATAAACTGGAAAAAGATAAAATCACAGATTTCTACCTAAATATTTTAAAATGTTAATTTAAAGGGCAAACCAGAGATTTCTAAAAAAGAAGGGAGAGGAAAATCCTTTGGGTTTCTTGTGCACTTAGCAGCCTGTTTACATAGTCAGTTCACTGGCTTTGCAGGTTTAGAAGAGGATTTGCCAGTTTATTTCACCTTTCAGAGAGGCTCCAACCAGTAAGAACAGAAGACTCAAAGCCATTGTACCGTCCATTTTAAAAAATGGCAGAAACTGGCACTACTGCTAAAAGAAGGACCTCTGGCACAAGCACCTGCACTGGCGCAAGGGAGAAGGTGCAAGGCTGAAGAAGGCTGCTGCCTGCTGCACCATTGGGAAGCCCTCATGAAATGACAGCCTAGGGTGACACCAAGCCCAGCAAAGCCATGAGCTTTTTCTGCAGGGCAGAGGGAGGACTGAAACTGAGCTTAAGAAGCCAGTGCTATTCTCCCTTGCCCAATAAGCTATTTCTAGAGCAGAAGGGAGATAAACCAATCTTAAAGCAAGTATCTTTGCTTCTGTTCTTTTAGAAAACCTGACGAAATTACCCACTTGGGCATTCCCATACCCACACAGGGTGGCCATGCCGCACAGGCAGTATGTTGCACTCTAAGTTCTTAACTAACGGCATTTAGACTGCAAAGTTAAGAACTTAAAAGTACAGGTCTGAAGTTGCATACAGAATTCATACTTCTTTCTCTGCATATGAATGGCTTCAACCACATAATTGCACAACATTTTTCTCCCTTGGGACTGCCACATATACGTTGGATATGACAAACAATAAATTGTTTCTGAAGACAACTTACATTCTTTGGACATTCCCACTTCAAAGCACTTCTGTAGTCTGCAGTACTGGCAGCGATTTCTGGTAACTTTATTGATAACACAGTTTTTATCTCTGTGACATGTGTAAACCATGTTCTTCTGGATACTCCTGCGGAAAAAGCCCTGAAATCAAGAAAAAAATAAATGAAATAAATTTTTGAGCTTTCCATAACCCTTAGAGAGAGGCATCAACATTGCTTGAAAATAACAAAATAAATTCAAAGTTATGGCTAGAATATGACATCTTTAAAGACTCAGTCTTCTTATACGTTAGTATTGTTTTTTGCAACATAAGACTCATGTCTTAAATAAAAGCTAATTAAATAATGCAACCTAAGCAACCTGAGGCCAAAATAAACAAAACTAGAACTAGTAACAGCATTCAGGAAATTAAGTCCTAGATTTTACAAAAAAGCTCAAATAAAAATGATTTGGGCTTATGGATGTAGTGATGAGTTGTGTAAACAACAGCCTTCCTAACATATCCACTTAGAAGTCAAACAGTCATCCAACAACCAACAGCCTCTCTCAGCCTAAAAGCCCCATCTACTTTTGTTACTACAGAGATTCTCTAGTTTGAAGGCTGCATGTAAAAAGAGAGATAATTTGAAACCCAGATCTCTTAGCTGCTGGAACTCCTACAGCAATTAATGGGGCTTCTGCAGGTGGAGGAATTCCAGCATCAGGTTATTGAGTTGTGAACACAATTGTAAAAGTTGCCAATTACAGCATTTTTTTTTTCTTATTCAGACACAGCTGTTAAAATAATCAAGTAATTACAATGGGCTTGAACAGAAATTAAAGACAACTAGAGGTCTGGTTTGTACTTAAGGAACACCATTTCACTGGATTCCTCCTTCCTCAAGTAAAAGAGAGAAAAACAGCCATAAATGGCAAGGTTAGCTGGCGTGGCAAAAAATCAAGTTAATTTCTTGCTCTAAAACCAAGCTTTAGATAATGCCATATAATAATGACCAAAAAAAAAAAAGATTAAGCATTTTAGAGCTCAACCCAGATACTCAGCAAAAGTATTTCTGCAACAGAAATTTGGAAATTTGACAGCACTATTTAACCTTCTCACTCAGATTTTGAAAATTGTTTCAGCAAGCACCAGGGTCAAATTTCAGTCAACAGCATAACATTACAGAAGAATAGTTAGCAATTTAATATTTGTTGGAGGGCTTGAGAGGTTAAAACTCTTCAAGCAGCCACATGTTTACACCCTACAGGGAAGCAGTAAACTCGATGCTGCAGACGATAGCTCTAGGCCCACAATGCATTTGTCTAAAGATGCAATCATGGTAAGCTATAAAATTGGCTTTCCTAGAAGCAGCCATTGAGATATGTGAGTAGTTCAAAAGCCAAAAAGCCTATCGTTCAGAGTTAACTGGGAGAGTTTCTGGCCATATGATAAGGGAGTGGTAGGGCAGGCTCTGTCAGTAAGGGCTGGTTATAAATTCCTTGCACACCCAAGATGCTCTAGATGCTAATGTAATGAAAATACTTCAAATGCACTGAGAACTGAAAAATGCCTCCTTAATCACGTAACCACTGGCAATAGTTTCCTGCAGCTCTTGCCCAGGCAAGCCTCATCTGAGGTTAGCTCCTCTGATTTAGAAGATACTTAATACTACCATCAAATAGGTAAACAAAAACTCTTTGCTTCTTTCTTTGCTTTAAACTACTGGACACAGATGCAGTATTTAAAGATATTTGTTTAGACAATTAAAACCTTTTAAGTTATCAATAACACTGCTATCTTATATTCCACATTTTGCTCATTAACACTGCTTCAATCTTTGCAAGGGAAAATATGGCAAGCATGCGTACACTTGTTTATTTGCCAAGAAAAAAACTTATGGTAATATTCACTTACTACTTTCTTGCTTTGATACTCCCTGAACTGCAATGCCCAGCTCTGTGGTAATTGTTGACGATGTTAACTAGAACAGTGAGGAGTCTACGGAATCTATTTTGGTTTAATTTGACAGACAGAAAGTGTGAGCTGTGCTGGCTCAAAGGTCTCTATACAGCTTATTCATCATCACATTTTAGCTGGAAAGAGGTAGAGGAAGCTAAGACTGGTAGCTTCCCCTGCAGCCACCCTGGCTTACTCCAGGGCTGCATGTAAATGAACACCCACAGTCACTGACAGAGTAACTCTCCTACCACCAGCCTGACAGGGCAGGAAACAAAATGGCCCGAACAAGGAAAAATGACCCTCTCATGCAGCAACTGTTTCACCACACTGAACAACTGGAGTAGTAAAAAAAAAAACCCAACCCCCAAAACCTCCTTTCTTGCACATGGGGCAGAGGCTGCTGTGGATCCATGCTCGAGCGACTTCTGGTTTACTGACACAGGCATTACTCGAAACAAAATAAAAGCTTCAAAAGTGTCACCCAATACAGAGAAAAGTGAGAACAGCCTCCTCGAAATATAGGTGTACTTCATCCAAGTATAACCAGTAGCTAATGGCACACAGTGAGTTGTTCTGATATTTAGATGCAAGTTCTGAATCCTTTTAACTTTGGGTTTAATTACAGCCCACCAGGAAGGAAAGCAGAGGAGGCTGTCTCAGACCTTACCATACGAAGCTGACCACGCAGCCCAACAGAAAAAGGTGATCCCACTCCTGCAGACAGCAGCTATAAAGCATTAATGAACTCATTACTAATATAAAAGGCTTAAGAAGAACAAACTCAGAAAAAACAGATCTCCAGGTTTAAATAAGACAGTTTCTTCAACAGCCTGACCTCCCCAGGCAATGTCCTACACAGTGAAAGATATAGACAAGGATTAATTGTGGAAGCTTAGACCGTTGTTTTACAGATTACTTTTTAACACCTGTATTTGATTTTCTTCCTGGAGTTACTCACGAAAGAGAAAGGAAAATCAACTTGTTTACATAAAATACTCAGGTGAAAAAAGGTATAATGTGATCCTGCTCAAAACTAAGGACCTGTTTCTCAAGAGTATGTTAGTGCCCACTCCCCAGCTACTCTTCCCTAAGACAACACTGGGATACTGTTTCTACTAAGATGTGTGGCAAGCTCATTTTAAAACCTCAGCTCATTTTAAAACCTCATCACCGAAAAAATTCAATCTTTAAATTTTCCTGACAGGCACTGAGAAAAATGCCCAGATTATAAACGTTTAATTTCTTTGCATACAAACCCCGAACAAAAGCTGTCACAGGAGGAGTGACAGGAGTTCAAGCACTGGCCATCGAAGAGCATTTGCTGGGTGCTGGGGCTCCGTTTCCCCACCTGCCTCCACAAGCCTGGTGCCATGCAGCCACAAGTTTTGGGTGGCACTGCAAGTTGGGTCAAGCCCAGAAACATTTCCTGAATCTGACGCTGGGCTAAAAAACCAGGCAGCATCCTATCTGTCCCTCTGTGGAGGTTTGCACCTTACCTGCTTTGGTTACCCTCAGCTCTGCAGTCAGAGAAAACCTTGCAGGACGTGGGGATGGGCAGAGTGGTCACTTGCTGCCCCATTAAGGAAAAAAGCACATATAAAACATTTCAAGGCTGGGTTCCAGATAGCACAGGTATAATACACTTGCCTGTTCACTAAAAATAGCCAAGTTAGAAGCAAGTCTAAATTTTCCTCCAAGAGCTTTTCGCCAAACGACTTCCATCTGATCTCACAACCCCAACAGTTTCTTCAAAAAACCAAGAAAATCCACATGCGACCTAACCTTAAGAAGTTGTCAGAAACTTCAGAGACAGCAAACCACCCCTGCTTATAAATTAATCAACTTGGAGTGCCTACTGGTGCTTAGAAAACAAGCTACTACTTACTGTAATACATTCACCTGGAAAGGAGTCTGTTCAGCTGAATATTTACATGAACAATTTTTTACACAAATATTTGAGCATCCCATTCAAATTAACACCCTGTGATGGGAGATGAGACACTCCTGTGCCAAAACCAAGCACAAATGATTCTTTCTTTGTAATTTAAAATGCCTTATGAATATAAAGAAAAAAAACATTCTGAGACACTTAAAGCATTACTGTCATACATAATTGTTTTTGATAGCGCCTACAAAGTACTTGAATTTAAAGTACAGGAAGCTACTGAAGGCCTATCAGGAACAGTGACTTGCTCTAATATTCCTTTTATCCACAGCTTTTGAAAGGAACATAGATCTTGTGTTTTTATTTTAGCAAAGACAAACAAAGCTTTGCAGAAATCACACTTCTGAATTAATTCCATCTTTCTGAGCTGCTTTTATCAGCATCCTTTAACACAAAGCATTTTAGATAAACATTTCAATTTTTAATCCCATCTTTTCTGTGCACCACACCATGCTCCTCCTAGGCCCACCAATCTTGTTATCTTAATGGATGACAGATAGAGTATCACTCTGACCATTACATCACATTAGGTGTCCTCATTTAAGGAGTGCAAGGAAAAAATGCTGAGTATAAATTATTCAGAAATCTATTGTATCAGCGTGTGTTCTCTGAGCATCCACCACTGGCAGCACAGACAGATTATTCTTCACTTTTAATTGTGTTGATATCTTATCTGCTGCACTGAAAGCAGAGAGTGATACGTGAAACCGCATGTATCAAGGAACAAATAAACCTAGTTTACTAGGTCTGTTGCTTAGAACTAAATAACCTATTTAGTCAATCTAACTTCAACACGATGCCAAGAAAACCCACTCCATCCCACTCACCACTTGCTTTTGTAGTATTTGCCTCTGTGTGTGTCAAAATTAGAGAGCTCAGTACTGAGCAGCGGTGCCCACAGAGAATATTAACTATTTCAGTAATATTTTGAATGCCGTTGTGCCACTGGCTATCTGAATACAAAGGAGCTCTTTAAGGATGGGCTCTCAGGATTAATGTTAAGTGTTTAAGCTTGTGAAGTCTTACAGAATTGCTAGTATAAACCGCTACCCTTACATATCTGATAGGGAATCTATACAACTCCCTCTCCTTCGATGTCCAGTTGATTTTGGCAAGTCAGATGACTTAGAGCTCAAGTTACGCACATTGCATGAAGAGATGGATCATTTGATCTCAACAACATCTTAAAAATATTTTGCCAGCATAGGGCATGCCAAATCTTATTTGCAGATGTAGCAGGCTTACAAGTTGAAA